TGTGGCTTACTCTGACCGAGTTAAAGGACTCTGAAAAAACGGCCCTTCTGGACCCTCCCGTGAATCCCTCAGGTCTCTTCGGAGCAGTGGTAGAGATGTTCACGGAGCGCTTCGTTGAAGCGCAGAAACAGTCGAAGGTTATTAACCACTTCTTGCCAAAGCGCGCCTTCGTGAACTATCAGCGCAGCGCGTGGGAAAACCGCACACCTCTTCTGCTGCTGTTATTGCGGCGAGAACATGAGCCAGCGGTGAGACCAAGACAGCCTTGGCCGAAGCGCCGTCAGGGCTCGAAGGGCCAGATACCCCGCCCTGACAGAGACGGCAGGCCACCGGCACCGGAATCAAAGCCGCATTCCTGATGCTGTCTCTCGGAAGAGGAAATCTGCACCCAGTGCCGAAGACGAGCCACTGAAAAAGTCTGCTCACTCTGCTGTGTGTTCACCATGCCCCTCTGCCTGTTGCGGGCGGCGAGAGTAATTGTCATGTTTGTGTTTTGACTGTTCCACTATGCAGTGCAATAAAGTCGAAAAACATTCAAAACTCACCTCAATATCAAAGGAATTCTCCTCCTCTCACTCCCCTCTCCCCCATCACTTACTCTCACACTCGTGTGGTATTAAACTCCCCGCCCCCCCAACGGCGAGTTATCCCTCACGGTGTGCAGTCCGCCTCGCCCGCTGTCGCAGTTCACAGAAGCGTGGCAGGCACTGCCAGGGGGATCAGAGGGGGTTATGAAATCAATAAAGAACGGCTACACGCTTCAGTTCTTCCGCAGGCCGCCTCGTTTCAACGGTGTGTTAATGTCCACTGTACGGGAGCGTATCGTCTAGTTGCTGTGTCCCCCTTGACTTTTACATGGTTTCGACTAGGTCCTGTAGACTATGGATATGCGGGTCTAGTCGACTAAACTGTACAGCTCCTACTAGTCGACACTGAAAACAATAGTCGATTACACGACAGAAAAAACAAAAACATGATTTTATCATTCAAATTACCATCATTTTAACATTGCATTTAAAACATTTTAAATAACAAGTTAAAATAAAACGTTTGAAAAATAATACATTATTTTTAAACTTGAACGCCATTGGCCAGTTTCACTGGCGTGATTCAATAAGGCTTCAGTAGTATTTGGAGGAAAGGGTAATTCCCATAGCAATGTCTCGTTCCCTCATCTCAGGGAACCGAGGTTGCGTGAGTAACCGAGAGCATTATCCACAACCTAACCATAAGCTCTACTCTTCTGCACAGTGGTAACGACAAAAAACTTCAACATAACAGAAGGTCTTTCAAATGTCAAACATAACTGAACATTAAACATTAACAGATGTTTCCCTTCACACAAAAATGGCATTTTTGGATTTTGGCCGATAATTTTCAGCGGGCGGCATTTCGGTGCATCCCTAGACCACTGTCGTATTCAGTTAAACTATAAATAATATGCACCCCAATACCAAGAACTATTGGGGCCAGGCGCATAAACTTAGCCTCTATATTAAGACAGTGTCTTAAGAACTAGTCTGACCAACTAGCAGTTAGCCAAGGGGTAATCAGTCTTATTTTTTGGATTCAACTCGGACTAATCTACGGTTTTTGTAACCGAATTAAAAAAAACTTTAATTTAGATCAGATTTTCAGTTAAATGACTGAGAACTAACTCAAAGCCAACACTTTACTATTAAACGTATGTGTTTATGGGTCACTTCATGCTAAATTGATAAATGTATCTTTTGGTGCAAAAAATACGCTAATATGACTGCTATGATAATTGTTCATTTAAATGTCCTCCACCATCTGTAGGACTTATATATTAGTCTGGAGCCCTGTTGGATCAAATTATTAATAATAAGAAATGGAGGTTAAAGTTAGGATGCAGTATTTCACACAGCATGCACTGTTGTGTACTGCACATTTTGGCTAATGTAATAGTCCTTTGTGTATTCTATTTGTATATGCTGTGCATAGTATACAAACTGTATACTGCAGAAATGGTAGAAGTAGTAGTATGTTATTCCAAACATAGCATCAGATACAGGAAGACTGGGGGTGAGGATTTGCTGTAGTGATCCTAGTGCCTCTTGGTTTGCTGCCATTTCACCGAACCACATTCACTGTAATTCAAGTGTAAAGACTTTCTTCTCCTCTTCAGATAACTACATCTGGGCTTTTGTATGTAATCCTTTGGGATGGGAAAAAACTGCCAACATTAGAGTTGAAAGAATTTTCTAGAACATTTCTTTTTCTGTTAAACTGTGGGGTGGGAGGCACAACTGTAAATTACGGGAATGATGAATCCCATTTAGCCACAGAAGACTCACAATTTGCCCACCAGCATATAAAGCCTTTTAATGGTTTAATTACATCTCAAAGGAGAAGCGCACAGAAGCAGAGTCAAATTAGGGATTGTCCCATATTGGCTCTTGTGTTGAATAATGCTAATATAAATAAACATGCCCATTCACATTTAAGACATTTCAGTTCATTTACTAGTCTAATGGTGAGATGTCATGGAAAAATTATTGCATTCATTCTTTCGAGAATGAATTCATTCATTTGAGAATTAATTTAAATTGACAAGTGTTGTTTGGTGTGCATTAGGCCTGTCGCAATAATCAATATATCGACTTATCGCGCAATATAATTACATGACCTCAATCATTTTTGGTGACGCAATATATCGCCCATTATATTTACTTAAAATGGTCTTTAAAATTACAATAATATCGCATATCGCAATTATTTCTGGGGCAATATATCGCACAACAAAAAGTTGTTATCGTGACAGGCCTAGTGTGCGTTTATAAAATATTAGTTCAATTTTTTTTAAATAAAATTATTATTTATAAGTTTTTGAAAATTCTGGCTGATGCTGATAAGCCGACAATTAATTAGACTGTATAAATAAACATAAATAAATAATGATAAATACATTTATGAATAATCTCAATATATTAACTGATAGGCCAATATTGAAATTCTATACTATTTGGTCCTAAATAAATAAATAAAGATAAATAAATATATGAATAATCTCAATATATTAACTGATGGGCCAATATTGAAATTCTATACTATTTGGTCCTAAATAAATAAATGTATGAATAACCTTAATATATTAAATGATAGGCCAAAATAAAATAAAATGTATATATTTTTTAAATGCTATAAGTGAATTTAGGCATCACAGCATTATAATATACAGTATGAAAGAGATATTTGTTTTGCTATTTGTTCAGCGCCTGCTTAAACAGTCCAGATGACGTTACGTGTAGCAAGCAGGTCAGCATGGCTGCTGTTGAAAGCAAGTATTGTAAGTACGTAACACCCGTGATCTCCCCAACAACTTTCCCCATCGGCCCCGTTCCCTCAGCATTCCCTAAGGAAACCGTATCTCCCATAGCCACGCAGAGATGTGAGGGCCACTGTTAGCGGAGTCTGAAAAAGATTGACTGTTTGGGCACTAAGTGCTCGCTGTTGACACAGGCCTCTCTTTCATATGCAGCGGAGCACCGAGCGCTCAGGCTAAGTACACAGTTTGTGTTAAAGGTTGGTCCGCTCGTACCAAGAATTTCATCCGTCGAGCTCTCACCCGCAGAGATGCAAACACTCAAAATGAGTCAAGAACGGGTTGGCAATTTGGAAAATAACATGATGAATCAGCTGCTCGATTGTTCAGATGAGATCAGAGCGCCCAATAAAAAACAACCAAAAAGTCCAGCATGCTGATGGATGACAAGTGGGTTTTTAAATTTTTTTTATTTGTTTATATTTGTTATCTTTGCTTCTCTTTACTGATTGGCCTGGAGGATCAAACATGAAAACCTAATAAATAGGTCACACAATTATTATTAGTAGTATTATTTCCAGCTTCCAAAGATTAAAAAATTCAAATTTTTACAGTCGAATTTTGGCTGGTATATAAAAATCTGCCCGATTTTGCTAGTATATTTTAGTGTTGTTGTTGTTGTACTAAAAATGATGATTAAAAAATATGCTATCAAAACAGTACTGACCAGCCAAAAATCCACTGTAAAATCTAAATTTTAAAGTCTCTGGAAGCTGGATATAATAATAATAATAATAATAATAATAATAATAATAATATTAGTAGATGTAATCGTAGCAGTAGTGATGCTAATAATAATCATCATAATAAATTATGTTTTACTTCTGTTTATTCTGTTATTTTCTCTTAATTTTTTATTTAAATGTACATGTTAGTCATATTGTTGAATTCAAAAGAAGTCATATGTTAACTCGTGCACCACTGTGACCAAAGGTTCGAGCTCATTTGACTCATGTCTGTGTGGACTGATCAAAAAGCTCGCTCATTGCCGACCCTCATCCTACCCAGAGAACTCAAGTCAATTCTACTGTCAAAATGACCAAAATGCACATTTCTACTGTAGCACATTTCTTCACATTTTCAGTAGTCAGAATCTGAAACATTGGCAATAGCAGAGATCGTCCTGGGGTTTCTTTTTTCAGCATTACTAGAATTACATTGAAAGCTGGAAGGCCTGCATTCATCAAAATTCGAGTATGGCAGTTACTTATTGGGAAAACCGCCAACATATCACCAAGTCTAGGAAAAATCCACCCTGAAAAGCGTGAAACCGTTCCAATAACATCTGCATTTTCCCTACAGGTGTGGCCCCCACACTAGGGAAATAAGCTCACCTGCAAGCGGAATACATGTAATTCAAAAACCTCAGGTGATGTTGCGCACCAGACATGACGGACGCCTTCTAAATTACGAGTTTTGAATGTCGCAGTAAGCCTTCGAGATTTCATTTGCTGCTTTTTTTATACAGTACACTTGAATTCACTCTTGATTACAAATTTCCCTGTGTTTAGAAAGCCGCATCTGTTTTGGCCAGATTTTTCTGTTCTTGGCATTGAAACGGTAGCTCTGGTCCGTCCCCCGGATACCCAGCTGATGCTGCGACACACGCTTTCTGAATTATGTGATTGACCGCCGTAAATTGCTTTCGTTCCAGGCTTCATCGCAGCAGCTGAAGTTCACAACGTCAGACTCATGCGACCGCATCAAGGACGAGTTCCAGTTCCTTCAAGCACAATACCACAGGTACACACACACACACACACACACACACACACACTTTCAATACCTTAAAGCAATAGTTCACTTAAAAATGACAATCTGTTATCATTTATTCACTCTCATGTATATTTGGCTTAAATAAATCTTAATTCCAGTTTTAGTTTTAGCAATTTTAGTACTTTGACTTATATTTCAAATGTTTCATTTATTTTCATTTTTTTAAAGTGTTTCATCTAATATTTATATTTTATTTCAGTTTTATTTCAGTTATTGAAAATTTTAGTTGAAGTTTTATTTAAGAACAAAAACACTGTTCTGTGGAACACAAAAGGAGATGTTTTGAAGAATGTGCTGGTTGCTCTTTTATAATGAAGGGGGACTGAAGCTTTCAAGCTTGAAAAGTAGCGATGTCTAGTTCGTGAATGAATCATTATTTTGAGTCCAAATCGGTTCATTGCGTCGGCTGATTTGGTTGTCTGAATGATTTTTTTTTTCACAAATTCAGTTCAGTTGAATTCACTCAATGATTCGGTCGAAGCTGTTGGTTATCGCCATCTATTTATGACCCATAATTCATGAGTATTTTTGTGTAATTCATTAATAGAGCCGGTTCTTAAGAGTAATTTGTTCTGGAATCTGATTATAGTAGAAAAGAACTACCAGCACATTACGAGTCGGCAAGTAGTGATTCATGATTCAGTGAGCGAGTCAGTTGTTAGTTCAGTAATTGGGCTGTTATAGTGAGGTCATTCTGTGAAGGAATCGCCATATTGATTCTGACCCGTGTCTTCTTGTTGATACTTTAAAAGAACTGCTTTATATGGTTCTTGACTTAAACTATAGTAGAAAAGAGCAACCAGCACATTAGGGCTGCACGATTAATCGACTGCGATTGTCGTGCGCATTTTGTTAGTAAAGCCGGTTCTGTAATCAGCAGGAAATCATCATCACGTGCTTTCAGATGGAGCAGAATTTACTACACAGAGCCGTAGTTCACTGACAAGTACAATCGTCGCAGACGATTTTATTGCGCGATTCTGAAATCGAAGAAATCGTTCGCGATAATGACAGCTGTTTGCATAGCTTCTCAGTGAACTACGGCTCTGTGAAGATAATGCTGCTCCATCTGAAAGCATGTGAAAATACCACATTTAATAACACATTTTTACTCCAAACTCACTTCATAACGTCAGTCGAGTGTTTGAAATAAATCCTTCTGTGAGATGATGTGGCTTCTTACACAGAATAAGGCACGCAACATATTTCATAGTATCTAAGCAGTGATAAAGGCATTGCATTATAAATATACTTCATTTTAATGAAAATTATAATAAGAACTCAGATAAACCGTATATTGCCGTAGTCGTGTGTTTATTAGTCACGTTGAATCAATGAAAGCAGTTAAATCTTCTGTTTATTCAGCTGCAGCAATAGGCATTTTCTGGGTTTCTTCTGCGAGGCGTATTTGGAGTTTCAGCGCGAGAGCGCCCTCTGGCCTTCGGATGGAGATTTACTGCTGATCACAGAACCGTGCTTCACTGAAAGATACGCATGACAATCGCAGCTTCTGTCGAATCGCGATCTCGATTCCATTTCAATTCATCGTGCAGCCCTATGTGATACTCTCCAAAATGGCGCTATAGGGTGACGCGGAGGAGACGAATTGT